ACACATCGACATTCATCATATGTGAATATATCCTAATTCCTATTTTTCGTTTAATGGTCCCATCTGCGGGGAAAAGTGTGACAAAAATAATTGGACAAGTGTCATCTGCAAATGTATGCCAGCTTGCTTTATCTTGGCGTAGTTGAAAATTGTTTAAATATATTTATAATTAAACTACACGTAATCTTTATTATGCACGGGAAATTAATCTAGATTGAACAATCTACAAAGCTTATATAAAGACATTAAAATTATTTTTATTATTGAAATAAAGGAAGTGTAATAGAGCAAAAATTTATCGATAAGGTCAAGTGTTAAACCTGGTTCTTTCTAGGTATCACGTCCCAGTTACTTTTCCAATTAAACATTCGTAACCTATAGTCGCACTCACGCCAGTAAAATAAACATTCTAAATACTTACCTACAGTAATTATTATCAAAGTCAGTGGTGGCTCAGTGGTTAAAGGGCCCGCCTCTCGTTGCCGAGGGCGCGGGTTCGATCCTGGCCCGGGCAAGTACCAATGTGATTTTTCCGAATCATATGTACTTTCTAAGAGTATTTAGACATCACTGATTAATGTTGATTCCCAAAAGAGGGTTGATGTCAGGCAGGCGGCTGGTCGTAAAAACAAATAGCCAAAAACTATTCACAACATGTAAGGCAGACCCTGGCTATAGCTGGGAAATTGCCAGGTAGAAGAAGAAGAAGAAGAGTAATTATTATCAAAAGATGTTGCACTTAATAATAGTTCTCATACAGTATAGACGATCTTAATGACGTAATTTCGGAATGCAATGTTAAGACGATTTAGCTGAGTCGAGATCTTGAGGAATCAGAAATTCTCTGCATTTTTGTAATCTTGAATAGATTTCAAACTTTTTTGTTTTAATTAGATAAGAAATTAAATTTCTTTAGTTATTAAATTATGTTATGCGTTTGAACACAGACGTATAGACCTGTTTAATCTTTTATAGCTAAAAAAAATATTTTAACAAAGATATAATTGATAAAACAAAATTCCCAATAAACATTATTTCTTAAATCACTCATATACTAGCAGTAACTTCGGCTCGTCACTTTAAATTAAATAAGGAGTGGTTTTGAAGAAAAAATATATAAAAAAAACAAATTGTATGTAAAGTACTGTCGGATGAATAGCATCTCGTGTCGATTATATCTCCAGAAGCTGAAAAATGCTTCTCATTTTCAGATCAAGTTGATGTCAACCAAATAGTGCGAGTAGGTAACCTAGTTAGTATCAACCAACTAGCACTGAAACTGAGAGGTCTGATGCGCTGATGCTTCAGCAAGATTGTGTTATAGATTGCAAATACATACTTGATTCATCGCCACTCTTAGAGACCACAATGTTTTTCTCGTCTACGGACGATATATTATTAGAGGCTTTCAAAGTATCTTCTAGTTTCTCTTAAAAACTTCCATTTCACATTGTAGCATTACGTAAATAATTTAAATCCTCTGAAATCATTGAAAGAGGCAATTCATCTTTGCATTACATTTACTGCCGGTATTTATTCCATTAGTAGAAGTTAAGGTAGAGCCTTCAAAAACATAATTGATGATGAAGGTTCTGATGCTATCGTCAAATTATATTGTTAATTACAATAGTTTTGATTTCCTGGAAAGGTTCATCGTTCTTCAGTTGTTTTCAATCATCCTGATACTTAGACAAATATCTAAATAAAACAATGTAGCAGTTGCATTTACAGACCGCTCAGAGATTTACTATCTCATATAACTAGCCTAGTTTATCTACATAATATCAGATTCTCAAAAAGATATTACACAAACGTGCCCATTAGCTTAACGGAAAATTATGTGCGCTGGAACATATTTTCGAAGTCGCAAAAAACAGCATGTCAGAAATCAATTGAAATTCAGACTAAGACCGAGATTATTTAAAGTCTTGGCCACATACTATTTAATTTTATTATATGTGCTCATCATATTACAAAGGCAAGACCAACGAGTTTCACACATCTATTCGTTTTATACTTCAAGATTAATGTCGAAAAATGAGGTGAGTTTTCTGAAAAGCTTCATCTTGCAAGATCAAGATTGTATTTACACAACGAACTGCAAATTGCAATGTATACTGAAAGGCTGTTATCTGTGAGACTCTACTATCTATTACTATATCTCGCTTAATCTCTGCTTTAATAGGAAAATAAATTGGCAATTTTTTACCTAGTCACTAGCCAGTATGACTCTCACAACTTAGTTTGTTTCAACAGTTATCAAATTAAAATGTTGTAAGAAGTTTAATTTGTACGGCGTACCAAAGATACAATATACACATTTACATAAAAATCAATGCTTGGTTTTGGTATATTTGGATATAAAGGTTTAAAAAAAATCTTGACTTGCTTCAATGTTGAAGAATCATATATATATTTGAAACAGGAAATATATGTCGGTTTAACAAATCAATGCCAGAGACTATAAGCTAGAATCTTAAACACAGGTACCTTCCCGTACTCATAACCAAAATTTAAAATCAATGGAAGATATAAAACATTGACGTGGAAAATATATTGAACCATTTTTTATTATTTGTATAGATAAAAATTTATTAATTTTCTGAAAGTGTTTTCAGAGTTCAGACACGCATTGTTACATAAGTTTCTGTCCGTAAAAGTCCCATGAAATCAAAATGCCAAAAATATCTCGTCTGCCCGTGATTACAGTTTCTGAAAAGTAACTGAAACATCGGGAATATGGAATCCGAATACTAGTAGTTTCATTTAAATGAATACCTCCGAAAGTCATAGATCTCATCTTATCAAAATAGTAGCGACGTTTTAGTGATGAATTGAAATTAATGAACAGAGAGACGGGATGAATATATTTAATAAAATTGTGAGTTTTTTTTCTATATTACTAGATTGATCATGATGGTAAATGAGCTTTGTTTACCGTATGTAGTAACTAAGTCCGAATTAGCACCGTCCGTATAATCACGGTATCAGGGATTTAAAGAGACGCTATCTTTTACATAAGACTGACATTTCCGACACGGAGATGACTTGTTTGCACGAATCAAATGCTTGGATATAATAAAAAATTACTCTTCTTAATAATTTTACCAAAAACACTATAAAAACTGCGCTAACAGCGAATAAGAAGAGTATCAAACTCGAAAACGCATAAATACTTAATATTTTAATATGAAATACGCAAATTGTTTACTTTATTTCGTGAAAATATAATTTCTAAAGAAATAAATTTGTATTAATTTCGATGCACAAGCTCTAATGGATGGAATTTATAAGCAATTTTAGAAGAAATAGAGCACCATTTATTATTAGACGTGACGTAATTTTAATGCTTTAATCTATAAACTCAAAAAAATAATAATCAATACTTGAATCGAACTTGACATAAGAATTTGTTTTAGTCATTCTTAAAAAAAAAAGAAACTAGTTATAAGCCATTCATTATACGCGCGGATGTTTAAGCAACAAACTTTAAACAAAAAAAAGTAAGAAATTCTGATGAAAGGAACATTTGATGTATGGAAGAGTCAAGAAAAATATGGATTAAAATTGAAATATTTTTTTGACCATATATTTTGGCATTTCTAATACAATAAAATACGGTTTTCGTGTTGTTTTGTTTACAATTTTTAAAACGTGACATATTATTGCAAAATGACCTTTATGGGTATAATATATGGGTGATAATAATGTATTTAAATTTAGTTATATTGGTTATAAAAATCAAATCCTAAATTCTCTTTATTATGATATCAAAATAATCTAATGATACTCGAATAAAACAAAACATAAATAAATGAGATAAAAACATAATGCCTCCTTTTATTGTCACAGTCGGTCAATATTTGGAATGAAAATTTAGTCTTTGGTCACTGATTTGCAATAACAAACTCTGATGCTCCTCATTGATTGGACAAAATATTTGTTTTTTAAACATACTAAGGAAACTATTGTACATAGGACTGCTTCCAAATAAATTAAATATTGTGATATTTATTGTAAAAAAGTTAACGCCGAAATAGATTGACTATGTCTGTTTTATTATTGCGGTACTTAACTTTTTTGTAACAAAGAAATTCATGGGTTTCAAAAATATTATTTTTCTTTTGCTAAAACTCAATAGCTTAATTATTCTTTCTCTTTATCACATGTTGCATTACAGTCGGCCGCATAGTATAGTGAATGGCATCTGGCAGAGCAGCCAAAGGAAATATAATGACTGAAAAATTATTTGAAATCTCTGATAGAGTTCAACTTCTATGACCCGAAAAAAACATATTCACTATAAATCCCAAAACATTTTAATTTACTGGTCACTTCTTGTATTTGCTTATGACTTCTGAATTATACGTCTTCAGTTCCGTGTGAAAAATAATCAAGTTAAATTGAACTTTAATATTTAAAGGTTAGATGCTATAATTGCGTGCATTCATAATTGACCCCTGAATTCAATATGCAGGCAAAGGCGCGTTTGAACGGGTGCGTTGCGCTTATTAACATAGCATGCATCCTTTAATTCGCATGGTGGCTTGAATTGAATAAAATGTTTATCAAGATAATAAAATTATGTAACCCGCTACGCAGCATGAAACATGCAACATGTGATTGAAAAATTGCGCATGCGTTTTTCATTTTATATTCTGCCATTGTTATAAAATGATAATGAGCTGACATTGAATAATACGAATTATAATTGTGTAATTTTAAGGATTAAACTGTATTATTATTATGTCCGAGCGCCGTCGGCGTCGGTTGTCTGTATTCTGTAGAGACGTTAATGTTCACGTAAAGTCGTATCGATTCAAGTTTATTCCACTAAAAGTTATTAACATTGTTTTCCATTCGAACATATAAGACATTGATCTGATAAAATAACTTATTTCTTCTTAGATAATAGTGGTCTATAATCCATATCAGTTAAGTTTTATCAAAAAAAATCTGATAATCGCTAATTGAACTGTAGGTAATCCGTCAATGAAGTCTTGACCAATCGGGACGGTTTATGTCGTGATAGCGTCGCGCCGCCATTGGCTGTCGGTGATGTGATGTCTATTTCTGTGTTAAGTGAGAATGCGCGCGCTGAGGATCTGTGCGCGTGTGTAAGCATGCAGGGCGCGGCTATGTGTGCGTGTGTTGTTGAGGCGCGCTCTCTCTGTTTACCGCGCGGTACAGTGGCCGGCGAGCGCCCCGCACTCACGTGTGTCGCGAATCGACTTCCCCGGTGGTTGCCGACTTACATCAACATTTCATGGTGTTTTCCAACAGTTCATTGGTGCTAATTCGTGCCGGGCGTTAAGGAAACATTCGAGGGTCCACCGGATAGAGCGTGCCTATTTTCGGTGCCGCTCATAAAAATTATAGGTGTTTTCGGCGGATGCGATGAATAAATTTTGCAAATCGAGTCTGTGTGTCGAAAAGGTTCGTGATAGCTATGTTTTGATCGGACGGCGTGTTGTGCCGGGCGGTGCGGATACATTTCGGCCATTTCTTCTGCCGATAACTGTGAAGCTGCGGCAGTGTTGCCAATTTTCCGCCCTTGGATGACTCCAATACCATTTGTATTGGAGTCACTAACAGAAATTAGATCCAGATGCTCCTGCTGATGCTGTTATATGCTTAGGTAAATATGACCTTGGTCTATCATTATGTACCAGCTCTTTAGGTTCCAATCACGTATATTCCTTCCCTGACCATCTGAGAGTTGCTTGTTTCCGCTTCGAAGTCGTAAATTTTGTATGGATGTTCATGATTTATATTATAATCAAGCGTTTCATTAGCATAAATTACATACTTTTGTAGAAGATTCGAGGTACATTTTTATTGATGGTTTCCGACGACTTAACGACGTTCATAAACATTAATATACTAATAGCGTGTTTTCGTTGCACTTATTATATATTTAAATACGTACAAGAATATTTCCTACATAAATGTAAATACAACCTAACTCTAAAACACTTAGCCTCACATCAAACAATCTTAATTTCTACATAAAAAATATAATATGATTAAAAATAACTTACAAAACTAATAACCAGGGAAACATCCTCGCCCATGTATTTGTTTACACTTACATAATCAGTTTTCATTGTAATATACACACTTTCACTGTTCCAAATAAAATTATCGCTATTGACATCTTATATCAACATACGTATTGAAAACATTCAATGTTAAACGTTCTACAATAGTGAATAGAGCTGTCTATGTATAAACTTTTTAATGCTATGGCTTCATTCGCACTGGAAAAGTATAAATAATTTAAACTTCAAACATTTTTAAATAGTTATAACTTCACAGATTAAAAATAATGCACTTATAATTATTAATATTATCAACAACCAATCAGAACTATCAATTATAAACACGAAAATAATCAAGGATTCCTATTGGTTGATTTAATTTGCTGCAAACTTATCTATTGGTATGCACAACCGGTAAAAACATGTTCCGTCAATTTGTAAAAGGAACGTCAAACCGCAGATGAAAAACGAATACTTATATGATTCTTATTAGAAAGATCTGTAATATATTTAATATCTGTAAAAAAATGCCCACTCAGAAACTGGTTTTCATATTAAGTAATTGACAAATAATAAAGATAGTGTCATTTGAAATTTATTAATGAAATCCTAACATAATGATTTGAATGAATTAATATACTTAGCATACGAAGCATTGCTGTCAGTGCATTTTTTTTTCGAATAATTCCATAGTACAAATAATATTGTAGATACGTGTCTTGAAACAACAAAATTGACAAGTAATTGTCCGACGGCTATAAATTTTCAGCAAACGACAATGATTGTGTAATTATGAATAACTTAGTAATATTTTACAAGCTGTACAGCCTTGGTTCATGTTAAAAACGACGCTCATGATAGCGCTATCTCTTTTCTTTGTATTTTTCAGAATTACTAACTACGTATTGTATTCATAACATAATAACTGAAATATTAAATATCTTATCTCTATTCTATAATCCATATTAAGAAAATATTTTTTAATTAAATTGATTTAACATTAACGCGCTCTACATTGTATTGAAAAAAAGATAAGCGACATATTTTTATAAACAATTGACTTTTAAAACAATATATAAAATAAAGGTTTAAGTTGATAATAAAAATTCAATTAGTATTATTCAAAGCGGCTATTTGGAACACAAATTTAACAAATTTAAGAATAATCTCAGTTTACAGCGATCAAATAATCATTAATGTATAGCAGGTTATGTAATATAATGTAATAATGATGACCAATTTCATTTCGTTATATGTTGAAGGTAAATCTTTGTTATTTGGGTAGTTACATATTATAATAAGCATTCTGCATTGTTATTGTTTAATCAAAACATTTAGAAACGATACTGACGTCGCTAGGTCTGTCTACACTATTGTTTTATTAAGAAAATTTATATATGTGCTATATATAGCTTGTATTGTAACTTGTAAGTAATAAAATCATTTATTACTGTATTCATACATTTTAGACATAGACAATCCTAGTCCTAAGATTGATCTAAAAAGGTTTAGTGCTGCCATCTAGTTAATTTAACCCCACAACAATAAGTACATAGGTTTTGTTATAACATAAAATAATACTGTTATTTGTTTATTCTTTTATTTTAATCTGTACCCTTAATATAAGCATCGTTACGACATACGCATCGTTTATAGTTTTTTTATTCATAATCCCACGTTGACACTCATATGCGAAGATTTATGAATGGAAAAATTTAAACGTGTAGTATGTAATCGTGAAAACTTGTATTAAGGGTATAGAAGTAAACAGATTAAACCAATCTTCTATCAATTCAGATTCTATTATACATTGTTAATAATATCGTCAATTGTTCAATTTATTATTAGTACTTCTGCTATTTTGTTCGAAAATAAGAATAATAAGTATTGTTTATATAGAATTTTATTCATTTTTAAGCCGCGCTACAATAATTTAGTCTTGTTATCCGAATGTATTATAATATTAGTGATATGTTTTAGTTCGTGAGTCATTTATGTTTACGGGTTTACATCCTGAATATGCATTATCAATTGCGTAACTAACATATGACTAAGATATTGCAATTATATCAACAGACATCTCATTCTAAACAAAGTGGAGATGTAGGTTCCGACGGAACAATTGTCTATGGGAATGACCTTAATTTGTAACATAATTAAATACTATATTATTGTTTGAATTTATTTATATAGAGAATATTGTATGAAGTAAAGCTTACAGACTACATACTTTATGAAGCAAAACTACGAAGCGTGAGTTAATTAGTTATAAAGCATACAACAACTAACCCATTTAAAATGGTCGTGTTGGAAGCCATTAAAAGTTATTGCAAAGTAACAATACTAACGTTTTGTCGAGTCCCATGATGTATTGGCGTTAGAGTTAAGACGTATCCGTGATAAGACGCACACAGCCAACGACCTCCACACATACAAGAGATGTTAATTATTACGTGTTTGTTTTTACCACACCCACACACACATATAAAAACACACGCACACATGCACACCGTGAATAATGAGCCTTCACATTTAAACTGTTGCTGATTAGAAAATATATTAAACTTTAAACAAAGTCACGTCTTAGTTTAGTAAAAAAATATTCCCATTACGGTCTCATTGAATACATATTGAACAGAATTTTGTTTCAAATAAAAACTAATGTAACAAACCTTCGCGCGTTAAAAACATTACCTTCACACATACATTAGGTAGGTGTCGGTCGTGAGAATGTGCATGTACGGTGTTGTTATTTTTTTTATTATCGAAATAACACTTAATCACTTCCTACAGCTAAAAGGGAGGAAGTCATGCGTTTACAGAAATAATATATTAGCACTGTTTCTATACAATTCGTTGGTTTTGATGCCCTTGGTTTGAGGTCATATAAAGTGTGCTGGGAGGGCCTGAGTTACGACACGCCGCTCACATTAACAGATCCTATGTTTGTTGATTTTTGTTTATTAATATTCGAGCTGTCGAACCTCGAGTGGCCATCAAATATGCGTGAAGATTTTACTTTATTTGTCAATGGCCCACTATATATTATTTTAATCCTCGTCTCATTGTGAGATATGAATAATAAATGCATTCTTTTTTTTGATATTTACGAACCGCCATTTTGAGAAGCCGAGTTTTCGAATCAGCTTTTTCTCTCATCGTCCCACTTTCCCACAATTCAGTTGTCCAATATGTAATCCTTAAGCGTCTATTATATTCAAATTTTTTTAATGGCGTCCATAATTTGAGGTCGCATGATTTTTCTGTACAAAAAAATCAACCGCATTGTCAGTAATTGAAAGTTATTTTTGGATGTGAGTGACAATTTGTTGCTGAAATAATTGTTCCGTTCTATGAAATTGTATGGACTTATCCTATAAAAAGGATAAACAAAATTTACACATACACAAGTAAATAAAATCAAGGCAGGTTTTATTTGAAAAAACCTAAAACCAATAAAACTGACTTCCGTAGCATTATTTTAATATCAACTTCTCTTATCTCGATTGCCATACTGAAAGAAAAGCAAACAGAAAAGATATAAACAGTACGAGCCATTTCTTTATAAATATTTATAGTTAAAAACATGAATTCAATAAAACCTCCTTACAAACTCATAAATGAATTCCAACTGATTATATACGGTACATTAAAAATGTTTTGTTTTTTTTTTTACTAAACCGAGCCATGAACTAAATCTACTATACTGAAATTTCTTTTTAATAAATCAAATGTAATTATCAATAGTTACTGCGTATATATAGTTAATGCGAGATGTTTATAATTAGATACAGATTATATTATATATTCAATGAGGATTCTCAGCTGATAAATCCCCTTGATTTGTAATTCATCTCGAGAACACTTCGTGAATGGAATATTGACTATTGAGTTGTAACCTAGATCCTGTTATATACAACCTCCTTTAATAACATCTTTGTGAAATAATTGCAAGCATATCGGCTGAATAACTTCATGCATACTTTTTTATATTAAACGATATTTATTATGTATAATATTTTAATTCATAGGATAAATATTAATAATTCGATATATGTAGTAGAAGCTTCGTAAGTAAATTTCAATGGACCTAGCCGGAAATATATTTATACTAATAATATATTTTTTTAGTTATAAAAAATAGAATTACATTAGCGTATCGAAAGACTTTTTAAGGTACATACAATTCTATATATAGGTACATACATCCTCTAATGTTCACGGATCATAGTAAAAAGACTAAATGGATTGTTACT